TCTTAACATTATTTAAAAAATACATGATCTTATATGAAGTTCTAAGGGAAAAATCTGTTAATATGCGAGGTAATAATGAGTATTGAATGTTTGTAACAAGTTATATATTCTGGTGACATCTAATATATATATATATTTTTATAATATCGCAGGACGCAAAATATTAACTACCATACCTGAAAGCACAGTTTTAAGCTTCAAATGCATAGCTGAACTAATAAAATTCATATTTAGCGATGATCTAAGTCATGCGACAGCACTTTTAAGGACAGATACAGAATTTATGAAATATATAATTGCCGTGGCATATAATACAATATCTCAAGTACGTGTATATGTTATTCATTTGAAGCCTAAGATAAGGGTTAATCAACGTCAACTGTATCCCTGTTAGTGTTCATCTTTTGACCCAGATGATCATTCAAAATTTGAGTATTGTACATACTTGGCTCGCGTTTTTATGAGAAAATTTATTAAAGACGATAAATATTCAAATACATTTCAAAGTGATGATTCAAGAAAAGATAAGGTAATATTATTAAGGCTTTTAATATTTAACATATAATATAAGTTGTATATGGCTTACAAATATAATGATAGGAAAAGTCAAGTCTTTCCATTGCCTTAGAAAGTTTTATGCTCTTAATCCAAATTGTGACAACAAGCTGGCCAGATAAATTAAAAGACTTCTTAGATTTATCTTATCAATCTGAGGAATTAAGTGAAAAACATCCCGATGATTTGGATGGTTGGCTGAATTTGTACATTCAAGAATTTGAGGTAAAGACGTTTCATCGAAATTTGTATTGGAATCTTAGATTTTAATAATAATAGTTTTTTTTTATTTTATATTAGCACCTTATAATTTCGTCGTTAAGTGAACGTACACCACAAATTAATGAGGCATCATGGTTATGTAGAACGATATCACTATTGTCAACATATTATGTGAATAAGACAAATGATACCGATTCTGAGTCCCAAGGACACATTGAACAATTGATCGAATGGCTTAGAAAACTCTGTAAAGAATGCGCAGTTGAGGATACTGGACTCTCTAAAATTATCGTTAACCTTTTACTTAAATTAGAACGGGATATGGCGGATTTTGATACTGTTGTGGAAATGGCGCATGATATGTTTGTTGTTTTAGGTCCTATTACTGGTCGACCCGAACAAACCGAAATACAATCGCATAAATACATGATCGTAAACGCTCGGACAAGTGCCACAGTTTGTAGCATTTTGTTAGAGTTTTTAAATGCAATATATGATGAAATGGAATGGTATTTAACTAAGTTAAGAGCACTATGTGGCACCAGTAGTGAGTTTTTATTTGGGATCTATTTTGGGCAACTTATGTTTTAATTAATAATTGCTCAATAGACTTTCCCATTATGCTTTAATTGTTAGATAGCGATTCCGATGAAACGCCCGAATTAGATGAAGTAGAGCAAGAAATTTGTTCAAGATTGATAAAACTTATGAATTCTTTATTACACCTCGAGAAAACATCGCTTCAATCTACCACTTCGGAAAATTTGCTCAAATGTTTACAAAGAGCTTATAAAGTCCTGGTGGCATTAACTCGATATGTAAGTTAGGAATGATGAATAAATAATGACATGTTTAAAATTTAAATAAATTTTTTCTTCACTATTATAATTAGAAAATTGCTGAAGCAGGCGAAATTCAAGATCAATTTATTGATGTAATTAAATTAGCTGGAGGCGATTTGACGAATAATTTATATAACTTTCTTACAGCATTCGGTCAAGTAAAAAATAGTGCATATAGACTAACAAGTAAAAAAGGAAAGGCAAAGGCCAAGCCACTAACGCAAAAGGTAACAAAGATCCATTAATTACAAAATAATTTACGATATAGCAATGTGTAATAAATTTAATAAAATTATAGGCTAGAATAACTAAGGAATCTAAGATAATACCAGCATTGATATTTATTTTGGAGCAATTTGAGCGTTATACTATGCAATTGTCAAAGAAATCTAAGGTAAAGTTATATATTGACGTGATTATTGGGAATATTTGTGGTTAATTATTTCATATATAAAAAGACCGATTTAATGCATTACATCACAACGACCACATCGCGAGATTTCAAAATAAAAATTGAAGAATTGGACAATGATGTTGATAATCAACCCAAGAGAGTAACAAAAAGGGTTTGTACTAACTTTTTCACCAAAAGTTTAATTTTTTTTTTTTTTTTTTTTTTTTTACTTATCTTTTAAATTTATTTTGATCTAGTCCACTACTTCGAATGAGCATGATGATGACGATGTGCGTAAAAGTTATTGTTTAAATTTATTCATTAATTCATAATCTGCAAATGTTAACGAAACAATTTTATTAATAGCCTGAAGAAGGTGGATCAGAAGATCACCGAAGGAAACGTCATTGCTCAGATTCGCCAATGGAAATTGACTGAGCAAAGTTATGATATGACTAGTGAAAATTATAAAGTTATTTAAATGAGCAAAATAGTGTACCGGTACTTTAAAAATGCTCTTTTTGTATAACGATAATAATTATCAGCGATAAAACGAAAGAAAAAAATTTAAATATTGAGTCGAACACTTGTGCTATTATGTAAATAAATCTATTTTAGAGAAGAAATGGTTTTAAAAGCAGGAATTCTATTATTACGAGACTAATGACATGTTCTTAGGGTTGTTATAACTTACAAAATTTTTGAAACTTACGTAAGTTGTATGTAAGTTATGTAAGTTACCCTTTTCTCTTTTTTCTTTCTTCGGAATCTTTCAGAGTACTCTTCACAAACCTTGCTCGTCTTTTGTGTTCGTTAACATTCTAGCTTCAGTAGCAGTTAAATCACCAGTTAAAAAAATTTCTCCAGTCACGTGATCTTCCAATAATGCTTTCACAAGTTCTTCCGATAATGTTTTTTTATTCATAGTTAACAATAGAATTTTAACTGTTATCCTTTGCTTCGCAAAGGATAGTTGATACTTTCACTACGGCTGTCGCCTCTGCTTTAGCATTTTTTTTTTTTACTATGCTTTGTCTAAAAAAAAATATTAATATACTTACCTTAACCTTAACAAAAAAAAACATTTATTTAGATATTAAATTATTTAAACTTTTATAAAAATAAGCAATTTAATTTGCTTTTTTTTTTATTTTTTTTATTTTTAAGGTGGCTTATATTGCCAAGCAAATTTTATTAGTTTGATATATAAAATTCTATATAGGGTTTTTTTATAGTTTGTAATTATATAAAGAGTATATAACAAGCCACATATACAATTTTAGTTATTGTCTAATTTAAGTAGTTTCTGCATAGGTGATAGACCACCTAATTAGTTCTACATTATACTGCTATACTTGTAACTCATTTATAAATTATCTATTTAAATACTTTGTTTAACTAACTTATATTATTACAAACTAACATTACTATAACATCTAACCATTTAAGCCTGCTAGCTTGTTACAGATCTATTTACTAATTTTAGTTTAGATCCTCTTGAGATGCGTATTACTCAACATATTGTGAGTATGCAGAGTTTCAGTTAACTTTGAAACATATCTATTAGAGCAGCTTATGTCTATTTCACGAACTTATCTAGTTTAGACTCTTGTAGATATTTGTATAATTCTAGTTTTTACTGTAGCTCTTCATTAGTTTTTTGTTTGCTGATCTCTTCAGATATTTCACAAGGTAGATTCTTTCAATCTAGTTAGTTGCTAAGCCAAGTTGGTATTGCTGATTCTTCTTGTAAAATAGATTTACTTATACCTTATTCAATCTACATTTTTAAAATAATAGTTTCTTTTCTGAATTAAGCATTAGCTAATATAACTATCAAAAGCTATACTATTTTATTAACTCAGAATTTCTACTATGCAGATCCTCTGCCTGTAGATCCTATCAAGATTTATTTGTCTAATATTATGTCTCTCCAAACATCTTATCATACTTCTAATATCTAAATGATATTAGTGTAATATGATTTACAGTGTTACAACCCTAGAAATGAACAGGGTTTACTGTAAGTTAAATACAAAGATCTAGATAATTATTCAAATTCATCAATAGTAGAATTTGAACTTCAGACCTCTTACATAGCGGTCTGATAACCTAACTACTATACTAAAATTACCAAACCCCAACTTAATTTGCTATTGTTACGAGCGGTTCTTTATTAATCTGCAAATTTTTAGGTAGCAGAAGGTTTTTCACGGTTATTATTCAAGGCA